CCTTACTCTGAGATCATGTCCTCTGGTCCTAGATTCACCCAAAGGAAAAACATGTTTCCACATCAGCCCTGTCAACTGCCCTAAGAACTTTGTGTCTCAATAAGGTGGTCTCATTCTTCTAAATTCCAATAAGCACAGGCCTAAACTATTCAACCTTTCCTCATAAAAGAGGGTCCCTTTCATACCCAAGATCAGCCTAGTGAACCTTCTCTGGACTGCCTCCAATGCTAGTATATCATTTCCTTAGTAGGTGCATTGATTACAGCAGTTGGGAGGTCATGTTGCAGCTGTACGGGACAATGATTAGGCCATTTTTGGAATACTGCATGCAATTCTGGTCTCCCTGCTTTAGGAAGGATGTTGTGAAACTTGAAAGGGTACAGAAAAGATTTACAAGGATGTTGCCAGGGTTGGAGGGTTTGAGCTATAGGGAGAGGCTGAATAGGCTAGGGCTATTTTCCCTGGAGTGTCAGAGGCTGAGGGGTGACCCTATAGAAGTTTATAAAATCATGAGGGGCATTGAGAGGATAAATAGACAAGATCTTTTCCCTGGGGTGGGTAGGAGTCCAAAACTAGAGGGCATAACTTTAAGGTAGGAGGGGAAAGATTTAAAAGGGACCTAAGGGGCAACTTTTTCGCGCAGAGGGTAGTGCATGTATGGAATGGTCTGCCAGAGGAAGTGGTGGAGGCTGGTACAATTACAACATTTAAAGGCATCTGGATGGGTATATGAATAGGAAGGGTTTAGAGGGATATGGGCCAAATGCTGGCAAATGGGACTAGATTTATTTAGGATATCTGGTTGGCATGGACAAGTTGGCCCAAAGGGTCTGCTTCCGTGCTGTAGATCTCTATGACTCTAAAGGGACCCCACATTGTTCACAGTATTCCAGCTGTGGTCTGCTTGGTGTTTTGTATAGTTTCAGCAAAACCTCCGGATTTTCATAGTCCATTCCCTTTGAAATAAAGGCCATTGGCCCTTCCTATTACCCATTGAACCTGGATGCTAGCTTTTTGTGATCCATGGACGAGGACTCCCAAATTCCTCTTCTGCAGTCTTCCTCCATTTAAGTAGCATGCAGCTCCTCCATGATGAAATGCATAACCTCATAAAACCTCAAGTTTTTGCCCACTCACTTAATCTATCTGCAGACTTTATCATCCTCACCACTTGCCATCTCACCCAGTCCATCATCCACAAACCTGTCTACAGTACATTCACACACCGTGTGCTATCAAGCACATTCTGAAAATTCAAATTCATTACATCCCCTGCTTCCCCTTCATCTACCTTTCTTATTACCTCCTCAAAGAATTCCAGTGCAGTTTGTCAGGCATGATTTCTGCTTTCTGAAGTCATGCTGACTCTGCTTGATCATACTGAATATTAGCGCACTACCTTGAAGAACTCCCACAGAGATTTCTGCAGCTGAGATGACAGGCCTCCAACAATCACAACCAGGAGAGTGTTTTCTCCCTGATTCTCACTGACTCCAGTTTTGACAGGGCTCTTGCGTTACTTGAGTAAATACTGTCCTTAATGTCAAGGACAGTAACCCTCACTTCACCTCTGGAGTTGTCTCCTATGTCAGATGTTTAAACAAAAATGAGATCAGGAGCTGATTGGCCTCAGTGGCCAAACTACAAGTCAATGAGCAGGTAATTATTATCAAGTGCCTGTGGATAGCAATGTTAATGACACCTTCCAACACTTCGCTGATAATTGCAAGTAGACTTTAGGGAAAATTGGTGGCAGTCATAATCATGGGTATGGTAATCTAGAGGCCCAGATCAATGCTCCAGACACATGGGTCAAAATCCAACTATGTAAGCTGGTGGAATTTGAATCCAATCAATAAATTGAAATGTGGAATTGAAAACTAATCTCAGTGATAGGACCATGCAACAACTATCAGTTGCCATAAAAATCCTACTGGTTCACTAATGTCTTTTAGAGAACAAAACCTGCTACCCTTACATCCTCAGAGATGATGCCACCCGAAAGCTGCAGGAACAGCATTTCATATTCTGCTTGGGAACCCTGCAGCCCAAGGATATCAATGTGGACTTCACAAGCTTCAAAATCTCCCCTCCCCCAACCGCATCCCAAAACCAGCCCAGCTCATCCCTGCCTCCCTAACCATTCCTCCCACCTCACGCCCCACCCCTATCTCCTACCCACTAACCTCATCCCGCCTCCTTGACCTGTCCGTCCTCCCTGGACCGACCTATCCCCTCCCTAACTCCCCACCTACATTCACCTTTACTGGCTCCAACCCCGCCTCTTTGACCTGTCTCTCTCCTCTCCACCTATCTTCTCCTCTATCCATCTTCTATCCGCCTCCCCCTCTCTCCCTATTTATTTCAGAACCCCCTTCCCCTCCCCCATTTCTGAAGAAAGGTCTTGAGCTGAAATGTCAGCTTTCCTGCTCCTCTGATGCTGCTTGGCCTGCTGTGTTCATCCAGCTCTACACCTCTTTACCCTTACATCCTCACCTGGTCTTGGCTCCATGTGACTCCAAATCCACAACAATGTGGTTTAAAACCCTCTGAAATTGCCGAGCAATTCACTTAGTTCAAGAGTAATGGATGGGAAACAAATGCTGACCTGGCCAGTGAGGCCGATATGATTTTTTTAAAAAAAGGCTCAGAGGGGCGATAATTGGCAAGGTTGGAATTCTCCTGCTTTTCTGGGGATGTGACATGCCTGGGTAATTCTCCACAACTGGACAGATGTCATTGATGAAATGAACTAGTGCTTGAAAAATGAGGGGACAATAATTAGGTGGTAGTTTGGTTAGGGGCACAGTACTTTCTCCAGCACTCATCTATCACTGAAATGTTGTCAGGGACCGTAGCCTTTGCAGTATCTTCAGCTGTTTCTCGATACTGTGAAGATTAATGTCTTTATTATTAGTGGACCAAAACTGGAAAACTATTGCTTTGAATCAAGGAAATTGTATGAAAAAAGAATAGCTGCAGTTTACAAACTTTTACTGGGCCGTTTTATAGCTGGCACATCAAATGCAGCCAACAGGTGCACGAGAAACTATGTTACTGTTTGGAAACATCGAAGCTGGGCAAATTGTTCCTGAACAAACAAGTGGAGACAGTTTGCCCAGTGACATGGAGTTGGTTGGCTTTTCTATTGACCAGTTATTCTGGGTGCAAGAGCGCTCAATCTAAGAGCAGCTTTTGAACTGATGTCTGCCCTGATGATGGACTGTGTGTATGAACAGTATAGCAGACAGAATCTAACCTCTGAAGGGAAAACATAACATATAGCTCTTTTTCTCCCTTGTGTGAGCTGTACCAGTGAAGTTAGTTGTTCACATCCACTTTTCCTGTAACTGCTTTCTTTGTGTAACCTTATCGATGGAAGGAGAAAGAAAGCTTACTGAAAACAAAAAATGCTGGAAATCACAGGAGTCCAGGCAGCGCCCATGGAGAGACAGCAAGCTAATGTTTCTTCATCAGAGCAGAGTCATCTAGGCTCGAAACGTTAGCTTGCTCTCTCTCTCCCTGGATGCTGCCCGACCCACTGTGATTTCCAACATTTTTTGTTTTTAGTACAGATTCCAGCATCTGCAGTAATTTGATCCTATCCTGAAAGCAAGTTTCCCAAGTATTGAAAAGATCAATTCCTGACCAATGACTGGAATATTGGTGCAAACAACTTAGTGTCATTAAAAGGACTGGAAAAGCTAACAAAGGAAATGGAAAGACAGTGAACGAAATCAATTCATTGAATCTTGTAATCCAATTGGCACAGTTGAATAGTATTATCCCCTTTTACCCCCTCACTCTTAAAGCGCATATTTTGGTAGGTGTCGTGTAGCTAGTTTAAATTCTACAACTCTTACCCCCTATTTCTTCGTTACCATCATTTCAGGACAAATTTGTTCAAAAAGGTGCTTTTTTGGTTAAGTACCCAAATTAGAATTAGCTTTACGGTCACAAATACTCAAATGAGTACAAAGTGTACAAGTTGCTGCTTATGGTGCCATCTTAGGTACAAAGGTCCCTAGGTACGGCTTCTTCAGTTACAGTTCTTAGAAGTTTAGAGAAGTGCAAAATCCAGCATTGCAGATTTTAGGAATAAATTATAAAATGGAGAAAAATAAAGTTCAGAACACCAGTCTTCCAACCCAAGTGTGGTTGAATGTACGATTTCAAATCAGAATTAGACAGCAAAGTGGAGTTGTAAATTTTTCTGGTGATCAAACCTTTTCACTTTTGTCAAGACTACAGGAATAGTGGACTGCATTTCCAGTATGCTATCCCAGAGGATCCTAACGCTGTCATGGAGTGAATTAAATTGGCTGAAGGCTGCATCTGAGATGCAGGAGACCTCAGGAGGTGGTCTGCTGCTTCTGGATTGCCCAGATGTTAAAAATTCATTTGTACAAAGTGCTATGGGAAAAGGAAAGCCTGGCTGGAGCAGCACTTATTGCATATTCCTAATTGCCCAGAGGTCAACTAGGAGTCACATGTAGGCAAGACCAGGCAAAGGACAGTAGATTTCCTTCCCTCAAGGACATCACTGAACCAGATGTGAATAATGATCATTGGCAATAGTTGTCAGTAGACTTTGCTTTTAATTTCAGATTTTCATTCACTTCAAATATCACCATCTGCCATGGTGGTATTCAAACCACGTCCCCACAGCGTTAGTCTCGAGCTCTGGATAACTAATCCAATGACATTACCACTACATCACCACCTCCACAGATGCCCTGTCTTCCATGGATAGATCTTTAAAAAAAAACTACCCTCATGCAGCATGGTAGGAGTAACACTCAAAATAAAGAAGGGTCTTCTTCCTCTTTCAAAGGACCAGAGCAGACAGAAAGCAGTACTCTCCTTATCAATGACATTTAAGGAAACAGAGAATGATGGAGAAGGTAGTAAGACGAACCAAGTAAAATTAGATAAACAAAAGAGAGCAAGAAAATGATTAAACAATTTTAAAAACATCAATGAGAACAAAAATGTAGTACCTGCAAGAAAATCTCCACAATTTCAATTCTTTTTTTAAACTGATGAGGTTGAGTAACTGCAAGAAAATAAATGGTGGTGTTAGAAAGGCTCCTTGCATTATTAAGTACGTGGCCTCACATAAAGCACCAACTTTAATTCATTTCAGCAATGCAACGACAGGAACTTCTTGATACTCGTGAAGAATTTGACAACAAGCTTGCTTTTCCTGTGGCCAGTGACAAAACAGTGCAGACAATCCAGCAATCTGCGATGCCCAGGACATGCAATGTATTGCCCAATACACAATGCTGGATTACTTACACACACTATTGCTAAATAGTGTTATAGGTGTCAGGGGATTTGGTGTAATGAATGTATCACCTTTGTGTCTACAATTATAAAGTGTAGCAACAATTACACAAGTTCTGCAATGTTGTGCAGAGTAATAAAACATAAAAACTATGGATGCTGAATATCTGAAACAAAAACAGAAAGCGCTGGCAAAACTCAGCAGGTCTGGTAGCATTTAGGAGAGTCGACAGCTTAGTGGTATTTTTGATAGATTAAGACAGGAATCCAGCTAATGTTCTAGAGACTCAGGTTTGAATTCCACCACAGCAGGTGGTGGAATTTGAATTCAATTTTTTTAAATCTCTGGAACAATTAAGAATCTACTAATGACTGTGAAACTATTGCCGAATGTCAGAAAAACCCATCTGGTTCACTAATGTCCTTTCGGGGGGAAATCTGCCATCTTTACCTGGTCTGGCCTACATGTGACTCCAGACCCACAGCAAAGTGGCTGACTCTCAACTACCCTCTGAAATAGTGTATTTGCCACTCTGTTCAATGGCAGTAGGGATGGACAATAATTGCTGACCAGCCAGCAAAGCTCATGTCCCATGACTGAATAAAACAAACTGAGGAGAAAACAGAGATAGCACTGAGTATGGGGACTTTTCAGATTTTTGTAGAGAATAATGTTGATTTCTGAAGAAATCTGGGTTGTAGTAAATCATTTCGAAAGCTGTTGCAACTCACTTTAGAAACAAAAACAGAAATTGCTGGAAAAGCTCAGCAGGAGCAGCAACTTGAGGGGAGACAATGGCCTCGTGGTATTATCGTTGGACTGTTAATCCTGAGACTCAGATAATGTTCTGGGGACTCAGGTTCAAATTCCGCCACGGCAGATGGTGGAATTTGAATTCAATAAATATCTGGAATAAAGAATCTAATGATGACTGTGAATCCATTATCAATTGTCAGGAAAAACCCATCTGGTTCACTAATGTCCTTTAGGGAAGGAAACTGCCATCCTAACCTGGTCTGGCCTACATGTGACTCCAAACCCACAACAATGTGCTTGACTCTTAAATGCCCTCTGGGCAATTAGGGATGGGCAATAAATGCTGCCTAGTCAGCGATGCCCTCATCCTGTGAATGAATAAAAAAAAACTGTGGAGAGAATTTTTGGGTGGCACGGTGGCTCAGTGGTTAGCACTGCTGCCTCTCAGCGCCAGGGACCCGGGTTGTGCCCTCATGTGACTGTTTGTGTGGAGTTTGCACATTCTCCCCGTGTGTGCGTGGGTTTGCTCTGAGTGCTCCAGTTTCCTCCCACAGTCCAAAGATGTGCAGGCTAGGTGGATTGGCCATGCTAAATTGTCATAGTGTTCAGGGATGCGTAGATTAAATGGGTTGTAGGGAAATGGCTTGGTTGTAATGCTCTGAGTGTCAGTGTGGACTTGTTGGGCCGAAGGGCCTGTTTCTGCACTGTAGGGATACTATGATCTATGAAATCAGACTTAATGTTTCAGGTTAGGTGACCCTTCTTCAAAACTGGGCTTGTAGCTCTCAGGTAACTTGTCCTATCTCCCTCTGGACCATGACCCCACCATGGAACATCAGATCATTGTGTCCACTGCGGTCACTAGCCTAGTTTCATTTGGTGATCTTTCCCCACTCGGCCCAAGCTCAGTCTCCCAATCCTGCACAGCTCGCTTCCATCTCCTTCCCAAAATCCACAAACAGGACTACTCAGGCAGCTCTATTGTTTCTGACTACTCTTGTCCCACAGAACTCATCTCTTCATACCTCAACTGAATTCTTTCCCCCCCTTGTCCTGTCCTTTCCCACTTATATCCGCAATTCTTATGATGCTTTACATCAGTTTGCAGGCTCCAGCCACCTCCTCTTTACCATGGACATGCAATCCCTTTAGACGTCTATCCCTCATCAGGATGGTTTCAGGGCACTCCACTTCTTCTTGGAGCAAAGGCCTGAACCGTCCCCATCCACCACCACCCTCCTCCACCTGGCCAAGTTCGTCCTCACTCTTAATAACCTCTCCTTTAACTCCTCTCACTTGATTCAGGTCAAAAGGGGTGGCCATGGGTACCCGCATGAGCCCCAGTTATGCCTGTCTCTTCATGGGGTACGTGGAACATTCCTTGTTTCAATCTAATTCTGGCCCCCACCCACAACTCCTTCTCCAGTACAATCGATGACATAATCAGTGCTGCTTCCCTCTCTCATTCAGAATTGGAAAAGTTTATCAATTTTGCTTCCAATTTCCACCCCACCCTCACCTTCACCTGATTCTTCCAACTCCTCCCATTTCTGGGGATAGGTTGGCCACCAATACCCACTACAAACCAACCAACTCCCACTGTTAACTTGACTAGACACCCTCACACCCTGCTTCCTGTAAAAACACCTATTCCATTCTCCCAGTTCCTCTGTCTCCATTGCATTATTTCCGATGAGGCTAGCTTCGACAAGAAAGCCTCCAAATTGTTCACCTCCTTCCTCAACTGGGATTTCCCCAGCGCCCCCACTGTTGTTGACAGGGCCCTCAGCTGTGTCCGATCCATATCCCACACTTCAGCCCTCACTCAGTCTTCCCTCGCACAACAGCGGTAAGTTCCTCTTTGTCCTCACCTACCATCCCACCAACATCCACATCCAGAGGATCATTAGCCGCCATTTCCACCACCTTCACATATTCCCCTCCCTTGTCAGCCTCCTGCAATGACTGTTCCCTCCAGGACAAGCTGGTCCACTCCTCTTTCATTCCCAACACATCCCCACAGTACCTTCCCCTGCAACTGCGAAAGGTGTAACACCAATCCCTTTTACTTCCTCCCTCCTCAGTATCCAAGGGCCCAAACATACCTTCCAGGTGAAGCAGCGCTTTACTTGCACTTCACTCAGTCTAGTCTACTGTATTCATTGCTCACAATGTGGTCTCCGCTATGTTGGAGAGACAAAGTGCAGCCTGGTAACCGTTTTGCTTTTTTGAGTTCTCAGGGTCACCGGACGAAAGCGTTAACTCTGACTTCTGTTTTTGTTTCTGATTCCCAGCATCCGCAGTTCTTTCCGTTTTGATTAAAAATGCGACTCTACTGACTGTTTCCACCCCAAGACCCCACATGCGCTTAGCAACAGTTCAACTACAAAAACATTCCGTGGAGCACACCAGTTTATCCAGACTTTAGCCAAGTTTGGAAAGATAATACTGCAATTGATGTTCAGCATTCAAATGAACAAACTTTTTCATGTCCATGATCACACGATCTTGAAATCTCAGTCCTCATATAAGATTTTACTGTTAGCCCTGAATAGTTTGTTTCCACAAGACACAAAACTGTTGGAACAGAAAATCTGAGCATTTTTCCAGTACAATGTGGTGTTTCACTTGATAAAAACGTTTGTGCCAAGACTTGTTCGAGTACAACTTCCCGTTAAGGGGAGACTAACCCCACGCTGACAGGTCTCTATAAAACGAAGTTTTAATCGGTTTGTTGTTGTTGTTGTTGGGAGGGGGGCAGTGCAGATCATTGCGTGAACTAAAGGACACCATACCCTTGCCATTTGCTCAGCTGCGTAAGAAATGGTTCAATTATTTTGCTATGCTCCCCCCATCTTTTGACCTTGTTTCTCAACAGCTGAAGTTTACGAAAGCAAATCTCTCAATGCCCTGTCTCTTTTAGGTCTGCGCAACACGCAGCAACATCGAGACTTGGTGTAACACTGAGGTCACGTGAAAGTAGGGTATGGAGGTGGGAAGAAACGGAATTATGTAAACATAGCTCACTATCGAGGCCAGAGAGGGAAAAAAATTAAATGCAATCCTCGCGAAATATTCAGTGCATTCTGATCTACTTTCTTAAATTAAGAAAGCGCGCAGTCGAAAGCGAACCTTTAACAATTGACAAAAGCAGCTAGCTCCCAGTTTCAGTGTCACTTACGCCAGTGAAATCACAGCGAATTCAGACCGATCTCTGGAATAGGAGGAACTCTCTCCGGCGGCTTCTCGAGAACAACTGCTAAGAAAGGAGCCAAGTTAACACTTTCACTGCTGTACTAAATTAGGAGATTACAAAAATTTGATAACGAAAATCTACACACTCACAATGAAACCATACGAGCACATGGACATTGAGTCTTATGTAATAGATTAATTTTTAAAATCAACCTGTTCAGAGGACTTATAACAATCACTGAAGCAGATGGAACTTCACCCTCCTGGTTTAGAGATACAGACACTGCCACTACACCTCAAGACCCTTCTTAGAATCATACAGCACGGAAACAGACCCTTCGGTTCAACCAGTCTGTGCCGAACATAATTCCAAACTAAACTAGTCCCATCTGACCTCTATATCCCTCAAGACCTTTCCATTCAGCCTGAAAAACAAGGTCAAAAGATAGGGGGAGCATAGCAAAATAATTGAACCATTTCCCATAATTATTGCAGAAACTGTACAAAGAAACCACGTTGAAGAAAACAGTACAAGAATGATTTATAATGGAAGCAATAAAAAAATCTTTAAGAGGTGTATTAAGCAAAAAAAATGGTAAACTGGTCAGTCAAATTAACATCAAATTACAAATTCAATATAACCTGAATATATTTATTCCTGCCAATGAGACATGAATATTGCTCACCAGTATCAATTAGTAAAATAAAACCCAGTAATTTGTGAACTTGACAGTTCAAATCCTCTGCAATTTACCAGACAATTACTGCTAATCTACTGTTTGTTTTGTGACTTTTAATAATAGACCTAAAACAGTCTTTCTGGTCAATTTAAAAAAGGAAGAAAAATGGTTTTGAAGTACATGTTCCACCTGCTCGGGACATGTGTGATAGTATACCTGATTCCTAGACTACCATAAGGCTGTTGTCACATTGTCTGTGCTCTCACACACAGCTGGTGGTGGTTTAACCTAAGGGCCACCACATTCTCAAGCCAGGGGACAGTTTGAGAAGATGATACCTTCATGGTAACCTCAGCTGGTACGAGAATTAAAGCCACAATGGTCTGCGTCACAAACCAGCTGTCCAGCCGACTGAGTTAACTGACTTGGTTCAGTATGTCAGAACAGCTTGAACAAAATAAATATATGCCTAATGCATGCAAGCTGACCCTTCACTTTTCGGGCTGTTGTGGTAGTGTACCTACCTCTGAGCCAGACAGTCTGGGTTCATGTCCTACTATCTGCACTGGATACAGCAAAGAATATGGATCCTGACAACATTCCAGCAATCGTACTGAAGACTTCTACTCTAGAACTTGCCACACCCCCAGCCACGTTTTTACAATACTTATAGAACACTGGCGTCGATATGGAGAAGTGGAAAAATGCCCAGCTATGTCCTTACCACAAAAATCAGGGTAAATAACCTTTTGGTCTATTCTCAATCATCACCAAAGTAATGGAACAGGTCATCACCAGCGCTACCAAGGAGTACTTGCAAAGGAATAATCTGCTCAGTGACACTTTGGTTGTGTTCCGCCAGGGCCACTCAACTCCTGACCTCATTACAGCCTTGGTCAAAATATAGGCAAAATAGTTCAACTCCAGGAGTAAGATAAGAGTGACTGCCCTTGACATCAAGGTAGCATTTGACCAAATATAGCATTAAGCAGCTCAAGCAATACTGAGGTCAATGGGAGACAGGTAATTCAGAAATTGCTGGAAAAACTTGGCAGGTCTGGCAGTATCTGTGGACAGAAAACAGAATTAACATTTCGAGTCCAGTGACCCTTCTTCAGAATTGAGACCTAGTGGAGATGCTTACTAACGATTGCACAATGTTCAGCACCATTTGCAACACTTCAGACACCAAACCAGTCAATGTACATATGCAGCAAGACCTCGCAAATATCTATGCTTGGGCTGATAAGTAGTAAGCAACATTCATGTCACACAAATGCTAAGCACTGACCCTCTCCAACAAGAGAAAATCTAACCATTATTCCTTGACTTTCAATAGCATTACAATCACTAAATTCTCCCACTATCAAGATCCCGAAGATTACCATTGACCAGAAACTGAACTGCGCTAGACATACAAGGAACAAAGAACAAAGAAAATTACAGCACAGGAACAGGCCCTTCAGCCCTCCAAGCCTGCACTGATCCAGATCCTCTATCTAAACCTGTGGCCTATTTTCCAAGGATCTGTGTCCCTCTGCTCCCTGCCCATTCATGTATCTGTCTAGATACATCTTAAATGACGCTATCATGCCTGCCTCTACCACCTCCGCTGGCAACGCGTTCCAGGCACCCACCACCCTCTGCGTAAAGAACTTTCCACGCACATCTCCCTTAAACTTTTCCCCTCTCACCTAGAAATCGTGACCCCTAGTAATTGAGTCCCCCACTCTGGGAAAAAGCTTCTGACATATAAATATAATAGCTACAAGATAAATCAGAGGCTAAGAATTTTGCAGAGAATAACTCACTTCCTGATTTCCCTGAAAGACACAAGCCAGGAGTGTGATGGAATATTCCCCACTTGCCTAGATGGGTCCAGCTCTAACAACTCAAGAAGTTTGACACCATCCAGGACAAAGTATTCCACTCGATTGGCACCCAATCCACCATCTTCAATATTCACTGCCTTCACCACCGACACACAGTTTGTGCTGTTTACAAGACTTTGAAATATATTGTTCAACCTTCAGTGTTGCTGGGTTAAAATCCTGGAATTCTCTCCCTAGTGGCACTATGAGACAATCTATAGCAAATGGACTGCAGTGATTGAAGAAGGCAGTTCTCCATCATCTTCACAAAGGCAAATAAGAATGGAAAATAAATACTGGCCCGGCCAGCAACACCCCCACCTCACAAATGATTTTTTTAAAAAAAGTAACTCACCAAAAAGTCCTACAACAGCACCTTCCAAACTGCGATTTCTGCTACCCATATGGACAAGGGTGGTAGATGTTTGGGTACAGTCTGGCTGTGAGTTCTCTTTCGAACCCCACATCATTGGTGAGTCCAGATGCAGACTGGATAAACACTTTGCAAAACACTTCTGCCCTGTGCATGGGAATGACCTCAACCTTCCAATTTCTTGCCGTTTCAGTAAACCATCTTGCTCTCAGGCTAACATCTCTGTCCTGAGCCTCCTGCAATGTTCCAATGAAGTGCCATGCAAACTCGAGGAACACTACCTCACTTTCTGCTAAGACACCTGACAATCTCTAGGACTTAGTATTGAATTCACAAGTTCAGAGTATGACCTCATGACATCTGTCCTCTGTTTGTCTTAGTTTCTTCTAGAAAACAGCCCACGTCTTGTTTGTTTTTTGTTTATTTTCCTGTCAGCAGAGTAGACCCATTCTCTCCCTCTCCCACCTAAATTTGCACCCATTTTACATCCGTTTCTCTTTTATCACGATTAGAATCCCCTTTGTCTTTTGCACTGAACTTCCACACCCTGTATTCCCCTTGCTCCTCCTTTGTTTCTGTCAAAAGTATAAAAACTATCATTTTCTAACCCCTTTCAATTCCAAGGAAGAGTTATATTACTCTTAAAAAGTTAACTTTCTCCACAAATGCCACCAGACCTGTAGAGTTCTTCCTCCATTCTGTTTTTGTTTCAGATCTCCAGTTTCTACTGTATTTGCTTTTATTTGAGTGTTTAATTAATTGCCGTTTTTCCTCCAGGAATGCCCACCTTGAAAAAGTTCTGCTCTTCTGATGGTATTTCCTTTGTAACCTTTCAGCTTGTCACTTTCATTGCTTCCTATCTCAAAGCTAGTACCTGATAAAGTGCTTGCCAAAACTCACTTTCACAGCCACATGTCCTTCTTGAGGAAAAACCGAAAGAACTGCTAATGCTTTAAATCAGAAACAAAAGCAGAAATTACTGGAAAAGTTCAGCAGGTCTGGCAGCATCTGTGGAGAGAAATCAGTTAACTTTTCAGGTCGAGTATCCCTTCCTCAGAATCCCCTGAAGCATTAACTCTGATTTCTCTCCACAGATGTTTTCAGATCTGCTGAGACTTTTCAGCAATTTCTGTTTTTATCTTCTTCCTGAGTGACTGTTTTCAGCTCCTGCACAGGTTTCAACAGAAGTTCCATCCTTCATGTTTCAAACCCACCCAGGAATACAGGTATCTCGGAAACAACATTCCTCAGGCAGTTGCTCCCACTGCACCCTGAGATTCACACAGTGCCATGTGCTGCCACATGCGTATTCTCATTCTTTCCATCAGCACCAACTCACACTATCTCAAAGATGTTCTCATCTCCATCAGTCCCATTACATTCTTCATTTCCTTTGGCACCTTTTCTCATCCTTTCAGGTGTAAAGGAACTAGAATACCGATGCCCTGCTTGGATCCTTCTTCCCCTCCCCTTCCTTCTGACTCCATCCTTTATTTATC